TCAAAAAAGTACTCCAGAGTGTTGTTCAGCATGGGGGTGAGTAGAAAATGAAGGCTAATCATGTTTTGGGTGTACTATTCCTTTAATGTGAGAGCTACTTCATATCTGCTCACACCGTAGGATATTACCACCTCTTTTGTCCTCCTTGTAAAAACCTATCTTGGAAGAAAAGTTTAGCCAAAAATGTTTTTTAAAGGTGTTGGAATGATTTGCCATTTGGACCCACTTTATATAAAAATACCTGCAGCATTAACATGCCTCATCAGATTGATTGAAAATTGTACACGTGAATAAAAAGAAAACAAATGTGCATGTTATGATCTATACCCAACTAGCGGCTTCTAGCAGTCGGAATAGTTTTTTTTTATTCCAGGAGGAAGAAGAAAAAACGCATTTCTAAACCTGTTTAAACAGCTGCGGTTTAGGTTGTGTAACAGTCACAGCAATTAGATGTTAATCAACAAAAAAACTACAAGTTCTGCACTTTAAAATGCTTCCACTTGTTAACATTTGAGCTGCATGATGTACTTTTAATAGGCGAGGCCATTCGGGTTTGACCAACTATTGTGCACAAGCTAAAATGAGGCGAGTGTTTAGTGGTTAGTAGATGTTTGTTTTAACAAAGTTTGATTCTGGTGAAGGTAAAATCGACGATAGAGGCGTTCTGTATGGAACACATTTACTGACAAATTAGATTTTTTTTTTTATCTTAAATGGAAAATGTTTGTTTTTTTTTACTTTTGAGTTAAATTTTTGCTTTCAGTGGGTTATTCTTTTAGGAAGTAGTCCAGTTCCATTTGAAATTACTATTTTATTTATATATGTATGTGGTTACCATGTTTTTTTACAAATAACTGGAGGTTTTTTTATAGTTCTTTTTTTTTTTAATTATTATTACAAAGGGCGTCTTTGCTTTATGCTGTTATATGAGGTGTGTTTATAGACATGCTTTCATGTTTTTTTATTTCTGGAGCCACATTTTTTTTTAAGAGTGCACATTCGCTTTTTATTTTTTTGGGTATTAAAGTTGCTCAGTAAATCTCTGCTCTGTTCCTAACTGAATGCTTTTGCCGCATTGAAATTCCTCCACTGTCTCCTCTCCTTCTCACAGACTTGTTCTCGGTAAGCCGCTGGGCGAAGGCTGCTTCGGTCAAGTGATGATGGGGGAGGTTCTGGGTCTGGACAAAGAGAAACCGAATCGAGTGACCAAGGTTGCGGTGAAAATGTTGAAACGTAAGTGGTTTATTAGAGAAAGTTATCCGCTGTAAAGCTTTATGTTCACAGGATAGCAATGGGTACAAAGATGGACCCTCAGATAAAAAACAACAACTTTGAACTTGGTCAGCAGCTGGATCCCTGCCAGGGAGCAAATAGGAGAGCAAAGTAAAAATTTATGAGAACCCTTTGCCATCCCATATAACACAGTGTTCATTAAACACCACTGAGTGAAGATGGAGGGAAAGTAGCATTTATTGTCTTGTGCTTTAAGTGCTTGTCCCCAGGGAGCGTTCAACAAACAACAAACAGAGCTCTGTTACTAAACAGCTGCAGCAGTGGTGTTTATATCTGGCGAGGTCATAACTGGGAAGCCTTTTTTTGCCTCTTCACCAGCAGAGAGACGACTAATTACCCTATTGTGACTTTATTTTTTTTGTCCCCTCTAGCTGACGCTACAGAGAAAGACCTGTCAGACCTGATCTCAGAGATGGAGATGATGAAGATCATTGGGAAGCACAAGAACATTATTAATCTGCTGGGAGCCTGCACACAGGAAGGTAGGGAGAAGCCTGATACTGACCTGAACCAGGCCACACACACACACATTTGTCCCCCAGAGAAGGGTGCTGCTGTAATCCCCCCATGGGGGGGTGCAGGGTGTAGGAAAGCATGCATAAAGGGTTCTGACACCAGCTTCCGAGCTCACAGCTTGATTCAACTATGCATTCATTCATGCTTTAAAAACAAAAAGCAGAGCTAACCTCATGTAACTTTAAATGGACGCTGCTTTTATTTCTGTCAGAATATTTGGTTCTTACTTTTCCTCAGCAGCAGTGGATTAAGTTGTTCTACTCGCCTTTAGCTCCTGATATGTTGAGCTAATTGATTGAAAGTGTTTGAGACCAATGTGTCACAAAGATTACCTGATTTTCCAGTTTATTTTGATGAACCGTCAGAAGTTAGCCCCATTCTTTTTCAATCTTGGCTTAAACTCGACCAAGAGTTTCAACCAGGTGACATTAAAACAAACTCCTCACTATGACGGAGTATCAAGGCCAGGCTAGAGGATTAAAAAAAAAAACTTTTTTCTAGAATAAATTCGTAATATTACGAGAAAATAGTCGTAACATTACGAAAATAAATTCATCATACCACAACCCGTTTCAGAAAGAAAGCTCTGTGCTCAGACCAGCTCCACCAAACAGCACCCTGAGTTTACTCTGACTTACTGCCCAATTTGATGCTGGTGCTAAAAGATTTGCTTAGTTGTATTGTATAACTTTACATGATGCTCTAAATTCCTCATTTTAGGGAAGTAAGTGCTTCTTTTAAGAGTTGGCATAAACTACAACTTGTTTCTCATAATTTTAGGACTTTATTCTCTAAAATTGCGGCTTAATTCTTGTAATTTTATGATTTATTCTCGTAATGTTACGGCTTTAGTCATAAAATTACGAGAATATTCTCATTGCGACTTTATTCTCGTAATTTTACGACTTTATTCTCGTAATGTTACAGCTTTTAGTCATGAAATTACGAGAATATTCTCATTGCGACTTTATTCTCGTAATTTTACGACTTTATTCTCCAAATAGAGGGGGGAAAAAATCTAGCATGACCCTAATACTCCGTCGTACCTCACAAACGAGAAGTTGTATTTAAAAACATGTGAAAATTGAACGCATTAGTAAAAAAAAATATTTTTATATGAAATGTATTGTCACGACATGATCAAATTGGAAAAAATCTAATAAGTGTTCATCAGAGAAAGTATCTTAAACAGGACGTTAACGAACCATGATAACATTAAAATACCTCCATATTACTCCTGGTTTTTTTTTGTGGCTGAAATCTTTCCGAACAGCCAGATTGATGAAGGAAAAGGGCAGCTGTGCTCTTTCAGCCAGCTGACCGGTGACATGTAACAATATGTGGGGTGTTGTTACTCTATGTTTCCGTCAGCAGCTGCGTAACTTGGTTGCACAATTTTTTTTTTAAAAAGGAACGTTTTTAAAAATGTTCATATGTCCAGTTGCGCAAATTGTAATTACAAAAATACATTCGCTAAATGGAAACACTCCAATTTCAGGGAAAATAACGCACATTTTTTGATTAAAACGTTTTTACGTTTCAAAGTGTTTTTTATCGGTCTAGTCGAGATTGATATTTCGCAAAACTGCAATAAAAACACGAGTCATGTGATCCGCAGCTGGATATTACTGTCTTGTAAAGGCTGATTTATACTCAGAAACGAGGTCGTCTGATTGGTCAGATCTACATCCGCTCTACACTATGCATATTTCCTGTTTCGTTCCTTACCAGCTTGTTTTGTTTTATGACCGTCATCGCGGAAAACGACTCGTGAAGATGGACAGGCTAGAAGACAGAGTTGCACGGGAATGCTGGGACCCTTTTTCCACCTGAATTGTCGAAAAAATTTGCCCCCACTTTCTCACCGCCTCGGCCGTATCTAGACCCACAGCTAGTTCCTGATTGTCCCTCTTGCTTTGTAGTGTGGAATAACATAGTGCAGACCACGCTTCAATATTGGGCATAAATCAAAAATATCTACAAGCTCACAGCGACACACTGCGGGAGTATAACCAGCCTTTAAGAAGAAGAAGAAGAAGAAGAAAGGAAGTTGTTGGAGGATGATGGCGCCATCTAGCGTCGTGAATGAAATGTAGACGTCTCATGTATTGGCGCCTGTTGGTGCCATGTTGTTTTCTTGTGAACAAACATATTAACGTACAATTTTAACTTTGTTTTTTTAATTTTAAATACCGTAATTGCTAATTTTAAGAAAGGGGAAATTTTCCAGAATATCGACATGGTTTCGCACAAATTTGTAATGTGAATGGTTACTTTTTTTTTATTTTTTTTTAATGGAGGATGAATCAGAATCACTTTAAATATTCTTTCTTTATTTCTATTTTAGGTCCACTGTACGTCATCGTCGAATATGCATCCAAGGGGAACCTTAGGGAGTACCTGCGAGCCCGGCGCCCTCCAGGAATGGAGTACTGCTACAACCCGGACCAGGTTCCTCTGGAGACCATGTCCATCAAAGACCTGGTGTCCTGTGCTTACCAAGTTGCTAGAGGCATGGAGTATTTAGCATCCAAAAAGGTAACCGAGGAGCGCGGACGGTTCAGTTCCTTTAAGTACCTCCGGCGTTCACTCCAGAGTCTGACTAACGTGATGCTTTCAGTGCATCCACAGAGATCTGGCAGCTCGCAACGTGTTGGTGACGGAGGACAACGTGATGAAAATCGCAGACTTCGGCCTCGCTAGAGATATCCACCATATTGATTACTATAAGAAGACCACCAATGTGAGTTTTTATCAAGCTTTTGTTGTCCTAATGAAACTGGAATAGGAGGTTGCTATAGTGATAATGTTTTGGTGTCTCCCAGGGTCGTTTACCAGTGAAGTGGATGGCTCCTGAGGCCCTGTTTGACCGGATATACACACACCAAAGTGATGTGTGAGTATCTCCTCTCTCTCTTTGCTGATTCAGTCCATCTGGTTTGAAGGAAAGCCTTAATCATAGAGGAAAACCTTCTCCTCAGCTGGTCGTTTGGAGTTCTGCTGTGGGAGATCTTCACCCTGGGAGGCTCTCCATACCCTGGGGTTCCGGTGGAGGAGTTGTTCAAGCTGCTGAAGGAAGGTCACCGAATGGACAAGCCTTCGACATGCACTCATGAGCTGTAAGGGAACGGCATAAGGCCGCACGGTTTTATAGATTTCACTGTTTTCATCTGTTTCCAAACAGCTTTCTAATAAATCACTCAGTTTCCTCTGTCCCTGCTGATTTAAAAACTAAAGCATTTTACTGCCACCACATTGCCTCAAAAGAGTTTTCCCATGAGACACATTTTATATTTTGGTTTATTAGACTAAATTATTTATGTATTTGACTAGAAGAGCTTCTTCCACACATTGGCTGCTTCCCTTTTCTCACAGAATGCCATGTCTGGGCATCATGTAAACATTAGGGATGGAACGGTTTATGGAAACCGTCCGAACCGTTCGGTTCGCGTGTGTTGCATTCGGTTCATGCGCTTCTTCTTTTTCTCATAGGCAAAGCATTTACACTCCAGAGCAGAAGAAAAACCACCAGTTGTAAACAAGAAGAAGAAGCGAAGCAGCGTAGCTAGGTGTAGCAGAAAAAAAATCAGTTTTTGTGAAGAATTGTGTGGGTATGGCGAGTGGGAAAGAACAGGAGTTGGAAGACGCGCCAGCAGCACTTTATAGGTCTGCTGTATGGGACCACTTTGCATTCATGCTGCGTTCACACCGGACACGGCTGCAAGTTTACATGCAAACTCAATGGTTGACGTGCTCAAGATGTAAAAATTGAACTTTTGCTGCTTGACGCGCCGCATCAACCAATCAAAAATGCTGATCTGGGAGCTGGCAGGGAGAGAGACACATCGCTGATGATACAGAGCGCTGTGATCACTCCTCTGAAACAGTTTATTAATGCCTAAATTACCTTGAAATGCTGAAACCTGCCAGCAAAACATGTTCGCTTTTATTATCCTGGTGCCTGCAGTTTGGATTAGGTACATGAAAACCACCTTCCAGCCGCCGCCGCAAACCGCGAGGAGGCGACCGGGCCATAGGCTGCTGTTGAATGGGATTCCTATTGACAGCGCACCGCTGGTATGTGGGGGTCTGATCGGCTCCGACAGAAATAATATTGTAAGGCAGGATGGTAATCTGGATGAACTGACTGCACTGATTAATTTTTCAGGTAGATTTTCCCACTTAAAAACATATTAAAAATACTTTATTCCCACTGATCACAGCAAATATAGCTGCAAGGCAAAGAAAGGATAGAGTAGCTCCGCCCAACGTGCGTCAGACACACTTTTGCACCGCACAGCCAGAGCAGCAAAGCTGCTTCAGCTGCGCGTCAGAACTAAACTGGTACAAGCAGCAAAAAGGAAGCAGCAGACGCGATTTTGCTGCTCCTGCTGCGTCCGGTGTGAACGCAGCATTATAGTGACCTACGATGACGGTGGAAAGAAGGTAGATAAAAACTGTGCAAGCATTGTGCAACACGTTTTGTTTATGCTAACAGCAACATGACCAAACATGTCAGGCTAACAATCAACGTATACTGAACCAAAAACCGTGAACCGTACTGTGGATTTTGTGAACCGTTCCACCCCTAGTAAACATGTCATACCCGAGCTGTCAGTGGCTCTCAGAAAAGCTGCATTTAAACTGGGATTAGATAACAATAATTTACTAATTTGATTCAGATTAGTTTCATTTTATGGTATCACCAAAAAAGGGGTAGAAAATAGATGCAAGCCACACTTTTCAAACTCTAACTAAAGCAGGTTTGAACCTGAGTAAAACCCAGGTATTGCTTTTTAAACACGCTAGCAGCGGTGTTTACTCCTGCCACGCTGACTGGCCTTGGTTCCGTCTCAGAGCTTGTCCTCTATCCAAACAGTTGGCATTAATATTTCTATCACCCATGTTGTTGTATAGCAGAAACATTCCAGGTGCTTGGCAACATTAAAATGTTCCCTCATAATGTTTGCGTGATGGCCGATGAAATAAAAGCGCTCGACTCTCGTTGCGAGCTCCAGCTGGAACATATTGTGCAGCTTACTTTCGCCGTCCACCTTCCAGGACTGAATGTCTGCTTTATGAGCTCTCCTCTGACGGCTTTAACATTCTTCTAACGTGAGATTTGATCTCAGAATAAAAGGTTGTTTTGTTTTTTTCAGCGTGCCTAACAGTTTAATCTTCTGATCTGTGCAGGTATATGATGATGAGGGACTGCTGGCATGCTGTGCCGTCTCAGAGACCCACATTCAAGCAGCTGGTGGAGGACCTGGATAGATGTCTGGCCATGACGTCCAACCAGGTGAGTCTGCCTCGGATGCTCTTTGCTCGTTTTGGAAGACATGTTTTTTTTTTTTTTCTTGACGTTCTTCCTTCTTACAGGAATACTTGGAGCTCTCTGTGCCTATGGACCAATACTCCCCCAGCTACCCTGAAACCCGGAGCTCCACCTGCTCGTCTGGCGAGGACTCTGTTTTCTCCCACGACGCAGGAGCGGAGGAGCCCTGCCTTCCCAAGTTCCCCCCTCACTCTAACGGGGCAGCCATTAAGAAACGTTGAGACCTCATTTTCATTTTCCCTGCCTGCCTCATGGGGTCGGACCCCCACCTCCCCCCCCACACACACATTCCCAGAGATGAAGCTAACATGAATAACTATAATCCTCTGTGAGAGGAGTTCTGAGACTTGTTGGACCGCTCGGACTGCGGCGTTGATGATGTTACGTGGGGCGCTCTGCCTCACCAGGAGCGGCGGTTTTCCTCACAGCTTCAGTAAATAAGCAGACTCACATTTACCCTCTTCACTTTGGGCATTCCACGGTTGGGTCAGGAGAATGAGGCGGACGGATAAACATGTTTTTCTACCTTTTCTTTTTTTTTTTCTTCTTTTTTTTAACTTTAATGGTCATAATTCTGCTTTTTGGACCAAATCCAGGAACTGCAGCGCCCTCATTCACCCTCTCCCTGTAAATACGGTTAGAAAATAAAAAAAATATGAATATATATTTACAATATACTCTTATTTTTATTACCATAACGGATTTATTGTCTTTTGTACAAGGATGGTATTGTTTGATCTGTTTTCTAATATAGTCCAGGGGGGGGCTGTTGTTACATGAGCTTATTTTTAAATAATTGCTGATATTTCTGTGGCCAGTTTTCGTTTTTTCAGTTATGATCCCCTGTCTTCATTTACTTCCATATCTCAACTTTGCAGTACAAACTAACTCCGTGCTTCGGGGGTTTTCTTCAGCAGAAGGAAGATTTCCGAAGCCTTTTTTTTATTTTATTTTTCTTTCTTGCAATGATGTGTATTCTCAACAGTGGTCGCAGCTGTAAATATCCCTGGTTGTACGCCGCGCTCTGTCAGCCTGCAGAGCGATCCGCCTTGCTCAGCGTCACGCACTTCCACTGTGCCTGACTTTCATGTGATGAACTGTATAACCGTAATGTAAACGCTTTAACAGGGGGGGGGGGTTACATTCGCTGCCGTCGCAGAACACGTATGTCACCGTAAAAAAGAATTGCATTAAATAAAATATTATTGTTAAACAAGCTGAGCTTTCCGAGTATGAACCTCACTCCATAAATGGATCTATAAATATTGTTTTTTTTTATGTTTTGGGTGTGAATGATGTTTATGGGGATGAGTGCGATGTTTGCCACTTCAGTCCCCTCGTCTCTTTAAAAGCAGGTTGCTGGGGTCTGATTAGATATGATAATGTGCTGCTGACATCAGAAGAAATGCCGGAGAGTGCACGGAGTTACTAACTGGCAGTAAACGTGTGATTTATGACCGCGTTTCAGCGGCTTGGCGGAGTGCTGGTGCTGCTCTCCCCAATCCATCAGCTGCGCCAACCTTGATGCCCGTCTCTGGCTTCCTGCCATTGGCTGATGCATCACCTGGATTGCCGTCTCCATGCAACAGGCGAAACATCTGACCCCTTTTTAAAAGCAAGCTCTCACAGCTTAGGTCAGTGCAGTTACCCTTTAGTGCATTTTGTATTACATCAAAGGGCCTCAGTGATTTATTTGCTAATGAATAACAGATCCAAGGTACTTTAACACCAACAGGAATCAAATCCTTTGAGATGTGAATCAGTTGTTTTTCCCCAATATCTCTTAACTTTGTTATATTTTGAGTCTAAACCTTAATGAAGTGTTTATCAGCTGTATCTCTACCAGTTTTGTACGCCTAGATTCTAACATTTTCACTCATATCGTCCTTGAAACGGAAACATCCCAAACCAGGGGTAGAAAGCGTCTGTCCTTATGTGCCACTGCCCTGCAGCTTTTGCATGCATCCCTGTTTGATACTGCCTGAAACAAATGTCCAGGCTTAACTACCGAACATGCCATGGAGGTTGAGCGCTTTAGTTTGCGGCGTGGACCTCCACCCCTCTCTGAAGTCTTCTGCATCAGGCTGCAGTCCTATAACTTAGATGCATCTTATTTACACAACTTGTGTAAAGAAAGAAGGGCTAGCATATGGAGGGAATGCATGCACCGCATGTGATCTCAAGGCATGGCTGCTAAATCCCTATTGAACCAGAAAAGGATCATATCGACCAGCAGGTGTACGAGTTTACCTCTATATCCCAATGGTGTGCAGAGTTGGATTTGCATAATATTTTGCATTCAGGCCCCCAATTCTACATTTTTTTATTTCTCGTATTCGGGGTGCTGCTGCGGTGCGGAGGTAGAGTGCATGACCCAAACACATCTCAAGTCTCCGCTAAGTGCGGAGCCCATTCCCCCCGTCCTGCTCTCCCTCCGCTGGCTGGCGTCGGGGCTCACCGGCGCACTGGTGGAGCTCGGGGTTTGGTGGTGGATGCCCGGGTGGCTACTGGCTCATTCCTGGCGGCCTCTCCGCGGGCCCCCGGCCGCCCGGGGCCTTGCTGGGGCTCCCGTCTGGGGGTCGGGCGCCACTGGGGCCTCGGATCCCAGGGGCCGAGGACCGGATTCACTTCAGGGTTGCCGGCTGCTGGACTCGTCCCCGCGGCTCCCCGGGGCGCCGCCATTGCGGTGGCTGGGGGGCTTCCTCTGGGCCATCTCTCCTCCTCCCTTGGTGGGGGTCTGATTTCCGGGGCTGGCCCCTCCTTGGTGCCTTCGCTTTTGGGGTCCCTTTGGGCGCCTGGAGCTTTGGGCCTCCGGGCGCTGGACTCAGTGCTCTGGGGGGGGCGCCTCTTCGCCTCTCCACAACCACTATTGAGCATTTTCCCTATGGATAAACTTTACATGCACAAGTGCACCCTCACAAACAACTACAGGTGCTAGGCTCCAGGTACCTAGAGATTCACTTCCAAACAGAAACCCCACATTCATATCTTCAGGTAACACAGAGTACATGTCAGACTAAATAATATTACTTTAGCGATAGTTTCAAGGTGTTGCTTTATTGTATGTCTCGTACCATGTCTTTTGGTTGTGCTGTTCTTTTTGCATCTCGTTGCAGGTGATGAAGCAGACTAAAAATGTTTAGTCATTGTCTCCTTCTATCTCCTCTTTCTTTTATCTTTTCTCTTTTTTTTTCTTTTTTTTTTCTGCTCTATTTACATTGCAGTGTCCATATAAACTGTAAAACTCCCTGCATAATTATAATAAAGCAATTTATATGCATGAAACAAGTGGAGCAGTATGGCAATTGCCATACTGCTACGCTCGTGAAAGTATAAAAAAATATATAAAAAAAAGTGAATGACCCATACTGGTTTGTCACAGGAGTCCCAGCCCTGCTGACCTTTGCAGAATCGCCTCTCTTGCATCCCACTTGGAAATGTAACACCCACTTTCAAACATTTTTTTTCTAAACCCTTTGATGCCTATTGTTGCAAATCTGCAACAAACTCTTTGAATTACCTACAGAGCCACAATAGCATCTGCATTCCCCCAGTGCCAGTTATAACACATTCAGTTTGGACCTAGGAACCTCTAGCAAGGACATGTTTCTGCTACGACTGGTTCTTTACTATGTTTGTTACCTTTGACAGTTATAAATGCTGTGACACATTTATAATATATCTACATTTCTATTTATTTTTAAATTCAAAGAAAGTTAAGAAACTCTATATCTATCTATCTCAGGAGTTAAGGAAAGCATTCAAAACCATGCAGCTTCTTCATTATACTTTATAGGTACTTTCTGGTACTCTGCCACATAAAATCCATTAATAAAGCACTGGGATGTGGGAGTTGTCATAAAAAATTGGTAAAAACATTGATAATAGTGTATTATTTAGGTGCAGCGAATTCAAGGGGCTGCTCACATATGCATAACTGGGATTTGATTGTAACGTGATAATATTTGGAAAAAAACAGCAGGAATTATTTTGCAAACAACTGTATATCTGAATGTCTATGTATTCGTAGTCTTGGGTATATAAATGATCTCATCATTGTTTTTTTTTAAGAATAAATAACATAATCTCCCAGAGACGGCAGTAATAAAGGCTGGTCTGTGTGCTGTGGCTGAGGTGACGTTGAAGGGCTCTATTTAAGCACAGAAAGGCTTGGCGAGGCCTTGCTTTACAACCTGCTAATGGTGCAGAGGTGCCATTAGGTTAAGGGTGTTATCACCTGACAGATGGCACAGGAAGAGTTTCGGGGGAGCAAAGTTCATTATCTGTGCTCCGGTGTCGCAACAGTTAAATTGCTTAAGCTCAGCTGAGAGGCTGGATTTCTGGAGTCAGGATGAAGACGGTGTTTGTGAGCTGCGTGGAATGAGGAGCAGCTTAGTGTCTAATTAGGAGTTTCTAATCACGGCGTCAGGGGAGAAGCGGCTCCTTTTTTTAAACTCAGAGCAATTGTCTGTAAATCTGGAATCCAAATTAATTTGGGAATACTGGAATTTCAGCTATCCACACTCTTACGGCTCGGCCTGTGACACAACGCTTGCTCTTGTTACACTGGAAAAACCATCTAGAAATGAGGAAAAATGTCTTAAATTAAGTGCATGTACCCTTAATTTCAGTAGGTAAATGAGATGGTTTGCCAATGGAATGAGTATTTTTACTCTTAAAATAAGATAATTAGATAATGTGCACTTGAAATAAGACAATGCAACTGTGTTTTCTTATTTTAAGTATAAATTATCTTGTTCCAATGGCAAAATGTCTCGTTTACCTCCTCAATCCAGGAACAAATGCACTTCTTTTAAGAAACAATGACTCATCTAGATTTAAACTTTTTCCAGTGTAGCCTGTTTTACAGCGCAGCAGAGTTAGTCAGTTCTTCTCGTAATGTATGAGGAAAAATGGTTTTCTCCAGAAGTTCTGGAGGGAGGTTATTAGGTGTCTATCTGAAGTGTTTAAGGTTAAAGTCCCATTAGAGGTTAAAATCTGTGTTCTAGGAATATACCCAGTGGAATTTAAATAATCACAGACTAAAACCAAATTGATAGATTATGCACTGCAAAAAATCTAAATCTAGATAAGTCATTTTTTCTTAAAATAAGTGCATTTGTTCTTGAATTGAGGAGGTAAAAGAGACATTTTGCCAATGGAACAAGAAATTTTACACTTAAAATAAGAAAACACAGTTGCATTGTTTTATTTCAAGTGCATATTATCTAATTATCTTATTTTAAGAGTAAAAATACTCATTCCATTGGTAAACTATCTCATTTACCTGCTCAAATTAAGGGTGAATGCACTTGATTTAAGAAATTTTAACTTATTTCTAGATCATTTTTGCAGTGTGGACTTCTTCAAGCCAGAAGATCTATTGCATTATACTGGAGGAGCATGGACGCCCCCTCCCTGGGAAATTGCAAATTCACTCGGACTGGAAAGATTAACATATACTGTATCGCCAAGGGTAAACAGCAAGACTTTGAGAACCTCTGGGAGCCATATATGAGGATCATAGAGACTGAAGGCGGAGCTTATTAAATGGATGTGTTGAATACAGCTTTTATTTCCGTATTGTCTTTTTACTTTTTCTGTATCATTATCTAAAGAGTTTTGTATATTTTAGAACAAATGCAGGTTTGAATGATGAGTGCGTGAGTGAATGCTAGTATGCAGAGGTTCATGTCCGCAATGTTTAGTTTGTAAGTTTATTGTACATTAAAAGAAAAATTCAATAAAATATATTGGGAAAAAAAAGAAAAATGGTTTTCTCTTTAAAGAGTTGGAAACAAAAACGTTACAACTGTAGATCTAGAAACACACATCAGAAGTTTTTCTTTAGTTTTCTTTTTTCAGTCATTTCCAGATGTCTGGTGTTTAGAGCTAATCAGCACAAGAATCCAAACACACTTAACTGTAGGGATCCCAGTAAACATCCCTGTGCTCTACCCATTTGATTGATGTTTGTTGTGCAGACTGGCTGCATCTGCATGGTTTTTGTCACAAACCTTTGTTTTAATGCGAGTTTGGCGATAGCCTTAAATAAACAAATGTGATTGCAGAAAACTCATTTCAGTTTTCCAGTATTACTCAGATATACCTTTGAATCTTTACTCACGTTGCAATCTGATGAATGTATTTCACTGGGATTTTACGCAATAAACAAAGCGTTGCATAATGGTGAAGTTGGAAATGAAACTTTCTTATTTGTCAGAATGAAAATCTTAAAAGCGTGGGATGTTTTTGGATTCTGCGTTCAGATTTAATCATTCGTCTGGGGATTTTTTCTTTGTAAACAGCTGCAAGTCTGACACATCTAGAGTCCGGTGTTTCTGCCAATTCTTTGCAAAACAACTCAACCTCAGTCACTTAATAAAATCTATTTCTATTCCTCGCTTAAAGATTCTTTCTTGGTTTTGGACTTTCACCCCATCGGAGGTGTGACACCTACAGCTCCAGAGCCACATGTGGCTCTTTTATTTAAATGCATAGAATATCTAACAAAGGAAACCAATGGTAACTTTAAACGTCATGATTTAAATTTCTCTTAATTTTTAACACTAATGAAGGGACTCATTCAGTTGAGATCACTGTAAAAAAAATTACAATTAATTTTCTTCTTTTTGAAAGTAGGTTGTTTCATTTGTTGTATAAACTTAAAGGAATAGGTGATGTTTTGCTCAATATTTTTATGGCAGCAGATGGAAAAGTGTTTATTTTAATTTGAAAAGTTTATGGACATGTGGACTAGACCTACACCATTAAACTGTAGCCCTGTCAGGGGGGTTGGGGGGGTTATGATCCCACAATGATATATTATTGTCCATTTAAAAGGTTTATGGAATAATATTTGGGTTATTTTCATTATTTTTTAATTGACAAGCATATTTTTATCATTTGGTTATAATATCTCAGTCCACTGCCTGCCAAAACTTACCGTCGAACCCGTTTTTAGGTAATATTTGGTGTTCTTTTGACACAGTTGCACTGGGAATTGTTGTACTTTGAAACATGACATTTTTCTTTACTGGTTGTTTTATTCTAAATATCCCCAAATCTCATGAAAGGAGGCATTTAGAAGTATTTCTTAAAAAAAAAAAAAAAAAAAAATGCTTAAATTTATTCGGTTTATTTCCATAGCGCCAATTTACAACACGGCATCAAGGCAGTTTACAGTTCACCAGGTCATCCAGTCAGATTAATTCAAAGTTTTCTATCGAAGGAAAACCATCGACTCATTGACTTAAAGGCAATCCTTCACACTAAGCACGCTTGTAGCGACAGTGGAGAGGAAAAACTCCCTTTTAACAGGAAAGAAGCCTCCAGCAGAACCAGGCTCAGTGTGAGCGGCCATCTGCTGAGGCCGACTGGGGTTCAAGGAGACAGAAGCCGAGATACAAAAAGCAGCTGTAAAAGGTGGCCCCGTCCAGGAAACACACAGC